GCCCGATTCTAATCACTATGATGTTTGTTTGATTCTACTAAATTTTGATAATTATAACTTTTAATTACGCTATTTATTGAAACGGAGTAGGATAATAATATTTCGCTAATGAAGTAGAGCGTCGGTGGATCAGTGGTCAAGCACTTGACTTCCAATCTGCAGGTCCTGGGTTCGAATCCCCCCATGTACCAATGTGTTTTTCCATTTCCGATTTACATATGTACATTTATCTGACGTTCTTACAGTGAAGGAAAACATCGTGATGCAACCTGCACATATATAATTAGAAAAATCGTAAAAAAACATAATATGTTATTTCGTAATTTTCTTGTAAGAGCGTTAGTGGCTCAGTGGTTAAGCAATTGACCTGTAATCTGCAGGTGCTGGGTTCGAATCTCGCCATATACCAAAGTGTTTTTCGATTTACATTTATCCGAAGTTCTTACGGTGAAGGAAAACATCGTGATACAACCGGCACATATCTGAGAAGTAATTCAAAGATATGTGTGAAGTCAACCACCAACCCGCACTTGGCCAGCGTGGTTGACTATGGCCTAATCACCCTTAACTTAGGGTAAGCTCCTAGCCCCTCGGTGGGGAGGGAGCTGATGATGATGAATGAAGTAGAGGTCATTTCACAAAAATGTTTTCAAATAAATGGATTCATTTACAGACAAGCGCGAATCATATTGAAAAAATCAGGATATTTCCATGGTATTTCAGTTTAACTGAAGACCTTATAGCATAATAATTGAATGTCGTTTTAAGTTATGACGTAAACATAAAGACATTAATGTAAATTAAAAACATTCCAGTTAAATTTTAAATTATCTCCGTAGACATATGCGCTATTAAAAAATAAAAACCGTTTTACTTTACAATTTAAAAATGTAATTGAAACGAATCTCTTAAAATCCATCCGTTTAAAAACGGTGTTTATTTTATTCATGCATTTTTGTCCGGGCCTTAAATGAAACGCAAACGAGCTTCAGCGACTGAATAGTTAAGTGGGGGGTCTCTTTTGAGAACGGTGTATATTAAAAAACCTACGGCGAGTCGTTATTAAAGAAAGTAGGTAAGCGCACACGAGATTACATAATGCGATAGCGTTGGAGAAGCGTCGCCCCGCGCCAGCTCCGCGCGGCACAATGGATGGCAATTAACTAGTGCAAACATACCCCCAACCCCTGCACCCCAACCCCCCGAACGCCTTCCCACCCGCGCGCCCGTGATTATACCCTTGTTAATTATGTTTTAGGGTTATCTACTTAACTTTGAATGGAATTGACTTGTTTTAATCGGCCTTATTGGTCTTACTACGATGGATCATTAGGTTTTAGATATTATTTGTTTGGTTAAACTGTGTAGTAATTGTTATATAAATTTTGTATTACGTTCTTAGCAGGTGTTTATTTTAATATTGGTAACCATTGCTTTAGGACAAGATATTGTTTTTATATATCTTCATTTATTTATTTACATCCTTATTTCTATGATTACATAAAGTCTTAAATCTATGATATAAAATAAAATTAAAAAAAAAAAAACAAAAAAAAATATTAATTATAAGATAAAGATTACTTTTTTAATATCCAACTGCAAATAATAAGCATAGATAATAATCTGTTTTTACTATTCTTATAATATCAAAGAATTGTCTATTACTATTTTTTACATTTGAACATGTGAGTTAGTTCCAAGATTGAAAGGAAGAAATCTTGTATACAATAATATTGTCTGTTGCCCACAGAAGCGTTACCTGACGTGATATCATCCAGTGGTGTATTCTACCAGTATAGGGAGGGATTCAACAACGCCGTGAGAAGGAATGTACGCTTCAGAGATTTACTTTAAAACCTCTTCAGTTCTGCATATATAAGTTTGAAAACTAATTCAATAAAATTGAGAGTTTGTAACATATTTATATATTGTTGTATAAGATTTTTAAATTATAATGTAAATTATAGATTAAACAAAAATTAATTTGAAATACAGTTGAACATGAATTAGCGAGACACTTCTAAAAGCGCCAGTTATGGTCGTCCCAAGGGACGACCTTCATAAGCGAGAAAATTCTACAAGCAAGAAAAATATCGCGATATTGAACTCTCCCTTATCCTGGTTTGACTGTATGTGAACGCAATAAATAGTACAAGTAAGAGAAAAGTATCCATCTTTAGAGATAAATCTGTTTATTTGCAGTATGTTTCTAACATATCTTAACCTTTTGTGTGGTCGTGGTATTTCACCGGGCGAGGCGGGCCGATTCGTGCGAAGATGTTAAAGCGGGCTCTACCACTGTTAAAACTACTATTTTACGCTAAGTCTTAAGTAATCTTTTAGTATACAGGTGTTTAATACCCCATTTGTAATTATAAAACCAGATGTAAGAAGTTAAATGTGTTCAAACAAACTTTTGTCATAAATACATCAGTCTTAATATTTACGAGTTTAGTTTGCGACAAACAAATGATTAACTGCCCAACTTATTCTCCGTGTTTCTTCTCATGAACTGATGGCATTTCTGATGAAATGTTTTAATTTTAATGAAAGCTGTAAATTTAAATAATTTATAGCGTTCAGAAACAGTACTTTAAACCATCTATCAAAATAAAAATGAACAGGGTAGTTTTAGTAATTTTAATAATTATGAATAAGTCATTCGTATTGTATAAAATATTTCTGTAAAAAATAAATATAATAGACGTAGTATGACTTTCAAATCAATTGTTCCACCCACACAAACCTTTGCCATTTTAATAGGTAACATTTGACGTCTTAGCAAAAACCATCAACGTAACTAATTAGGACTAAACAATTGCTTACTCTTTTCAAATTTCGATTACATTTTATTTATCATATCAATATGTATTAATCTGACGTTACATTGTCAATGAATTATTTTTCCTTTTATGTTATATTTTAATTTTTTGGATGTTCAAAAACATGGATTCTTCATAACAAGTGAATTCGATTCACAAAATATTGGAAGTCCGAATCGATTTATTCAGTTTAATCGATGTTTTTAAGTACGATTCACTATGAAGCTATAATTTATAGATGTCAAATGTGGTCTATTAAATTGGTCCAATAATGTAAGAAATACAATGTAACATTTTTTTTTAATCTTTTAAGCTACGATATTACGAAGATATGGCACAATAAATAAAGATTATGTGTTTTTGTTTTTAATTGTTTTTTTACCTAAACGATACCATTTAAAATTCGAATGTCATTGAATGCTGATAAATTACTTCTCATGTGTTACGGAATGTAAGATTTTGAATTTTCTAATGCTTTAAGATACTTAATCATTACTGGCTTAAAGATTTTGTGATAGTATTATGTTTCCAGCCTGCTATATGCACTATATGTTTTACGAATCACACGAATAATTGAAATCGTTACTTGATTACTCTTTTTTTAGGCAAACGAGCAGTGGATCGCCTTAAATTATTTGATTCAACGCCCGTGGACATCCTCAATGACATAGGAACTGCAGATGCCGGCTGGTCTCATTTCATCATCTTTTCACTGTAATTGTGAACGAAGAAATTGATGACAGATTCTAAAGGACATATTATATTTTGTGAAATATTGTCTTTCATCTCGTAGTAAAGAAAATACTTATGTGTTTCTTTGTTCTGGGAGATATATCACATGTTACAGTTATTGTAACATATAGAGGAAGTTTGTGTTTTATTGGGCACTATCTATCGCCCACGGCTCTGTCCGCGCAGAATTTAAAAAACATAATGAATAGCCTATTTGTTCTTCCTGACTTTGTTTTATATGTATGCCAAATTTCATGGAAATCCGTTGAGCCATTCTGAAGATATCTTCTAACAAACATTAATCCATCCATCTATACATTTATAATATTAGTAAGATTGATAGATGAAACCATTGTATGTGTTTAATGTTTTTATATTTCATAATAATTAAAACAACTATTCGAATCTACATTTTACTGTATGTTATACATATTTATATTATATTACAAGTTTTCCCGCGCCGACAATTCCACGAGTCGTGCATAGTGCAGTGGGTATACTCATCTCTTTCTCTCTTGCTCCCTCTCTCTCACTTATATACAAACATGGCGCGGGTATTACCATTTAAAATACAAGATAATTAACAACTAGATTTCTACACTATTTCTTATTTAGCGTTACATCAAAAATATTTTAAATATTGCGTGGAAAGGAACATTTAAAAATGAATACTTGAAATTACTACATACAAGTGCATAAAATTTTATTTTGATCCTAGCGAAAAACGAAATACATATTACACATTTTATTTTAAGAAACAGCCATAAAATATAAATAATATAAATATAAATTTTAAAATAATCCAAACATGTTATTAAATTTTACACATGATGACATACATTTCTGATTAAATGGTAACACTTCCATTATGCCATATTGACAGCTGTCAAAATTTCTTTCATGACGTTCAACAAAAGAGTTGCCATAATTTACAAGTTTGAAACATTAAAGACCTTAATTATTAATATTATTTACATTAACTTTTTAATCTACAGAATACGAACATCTATGGTTATGAGATACAGTCTACCTGAAATTTTATTCTAAAAACTACGTATTAAAAAGAAATATTCACAACATTTTGGTCGAATACTGTTTCGGTGATGTAAGCTATATTTTATTTACATTTCATTTCGTAAAATTTAATTTCACCTAAACTAGAGAATTTTATTTAAAATAAAAACTAAAGCGCTATGAAATTTAAATTGTGTTTAAAGCAACAATAAAGATTTTGTTATTAAAAAATCAGAGGTTGATGATAATTGTAGGATATCTGGCGTACAATTTTTGCTCTTAAATATTTAGCGATGAGAATTAAATATTTTGTCTAACGATATCTCATTTATTGTGCATTCAACTTAATTTTTATCGTCGCTTAAGCCCGCAATACGCCGTCAGCTTTAACTGGACAGCCGAACCATTCAGTTAAAATTAAACGCGAGCTTTAAAAGTCTATAAACAAGAAAAAAACATGAAAATCGCTTATTTTCTATTTCAATTTATTATCAAATAATATTCGCTTAACGAAGCTATTTTTAAAATCGTTTCTTCACATATACATTGCACTTAAAGACAAGCCTGCTTATGTGAATATTTTAGCTATTTACATGTTAAATTATAAAATTAAAATTATACATAATTATGACATATTATGGCACAAAACATTGGCACAATTTTGCACACGGCACTTACAACTTTTGTGATAAATTATAGGTATATTTTACATAGAAGAGTTCTTTATGTAGTAAATTATTTTGTTATTTAAAAAAACGTTATTGCTATTTAGTATAAATAATATGTGCAATAAGTAGCAAAGACCACGAGTCTTTTTTCATAAAATTAATAATAACAATATTTTTTACTGTAAATTTTTGAAAATTTTTATAATTACAATTTTAATATATATTTTTTTAATTCTTATAATACTTTTACTTACGATTTTTGAAGAAACTGCTCTCATATGAAACAAAAGATAAATATCATGGTAGGGGTTTCATTCTATACTAACCAGTCCAACTATGGAGTTATTAGTATAATTTCACGGCCAAACTTTTACGAAATAAAACAAAATAAATTATTTACTTTTGTATAAATGTAATCAAGTGTAAATCGAAGTGTAAATCGACGGTTAAATATGCAAAGTATTAGTATCAAGATAATTGCGATCTCCAGAATATTCCTTACTCCATAATTTTGTGTTCGGTAGAGTTTGTAGGCGCGTTCGAGTCGTGTGGCAACAGTGGTAGGGGCAGTGGCAGCGGTGGTAGAGGCAATGGTAGCAGCGCTCGCGACTGGAAACTTGCCAGCGAGTGCAGTAATGCTGCGGAATGCTCGTGCGCTTTACGACGTAGTTCTGCAACACTGGATGAACGTGCTTCCTCTTTAGGACAGCAGGGACATGGAGCTCCCCAACCTGTAGGATATACATTTGAAAATTACTTGTGTACTCCAAATTAATTTATGTCGCCTACAGATTGATAATTTTGTTAAATATTAATCTGACTAGGTTTATTAGCTGTATAAATATTTTATGAATTATTATGAATTCGAATATAACTCCGATTACTGAATACATCTTTCTATTGTTTGTAGTCAGCTTAACGCTGAAGGTTCCTGCAAAAAAGTTTACCCCACGTCCATGACTAATAGATACTCGTAAGTATTAATCTCTAGTATTTAATGAATTTGGTTTGTTTCCTTTTATTCTGTGTCAAAGAATATGCGACTGTCTTTTTTTATCCAATTTTAGTGAAAACTTACCTTTTAAAGGGAAGAACGGCTGCGATAGTTGATTGAGATGGTGGGATAGATGGGAGAGGTGCGGGGGCAGGAATAGTGGCGGAGCGGGGGGCGCTGGAGCCTGCTCGCCACCCGACGACCGGAATGCACCAGAACTGTCGCAAAGAAAATTATTCCATAAGTATGTTTAATAGGAATGATGACTACGATTAATTTCTATTCAAATTTCATCTTTCGGGAAGCTCCGACATTCCTAACTACTTGATAACTGTTTGATTTTTTATTAAGTTAGTTGCCAACACATACGGAACCTTTTTATACGTTTTTTCTTATAATTTTTATATTTCGAACTTAATGCATTTTTTTTTCTTTTTTTCTATTCAAATTGTTGTCAGTTGTAAATATATCTTCAATCAAACAGCGCGTGCTAATATTATTCCATTAGTCTATTTTATATTTTCATTTTCTCTTTTTACTTTATAATATAATTTTCCAATGTTTATCAGAATTCAACCGCTCTTTTTTTTATATCATAAGGTGGCAAACGAGCGAGCAGCCACCTGAAATCGCTGATATAGCGAAGTGACCTTTGCCCACAGACATACGCAATTGCATATGCGTTGCCTACCTTTAATCGACAGAGGAGAGGATGCACAGAAAGAAAATATATAATATATGTAATATTTACTAGCTTAAAGTACATATACACTTAATTATAAAGCAAAAAAAACATTATTTTTTTTATATAAGTGAAAATAAAATAAAACATTTCAATCGTTCTAATTTAAGTTTATACTTTAACGATATTTTTTATTCAATTTTTTGTTCAGATTAAAACCATTCAATACCCTTATTTGAATATATTTGAGTGCAGAAAGAAATAGAGATACGTTCCACTGGTATTGATCTGGTGCGACGTCCCGCGCCACTTTGATCCCTAAATATCGTTTGCGATCAGCCAACCGACGAAGATTGAAGACGAACATTTTATTTTATTTACTACTTTGAATAAAACTCACTTAGACAATCTAATTATATAATACTTCTATTTATGTCGTATCAGATTTAGTCAGGGTTTATACAGTTAGAAATATTGAGGTTTATATAAAATGAAGTAGACTTTAATTCCCGCTTGCGATGTAATTGCAATTCACAGTAACAACTAAAATCATGATTTTATATAAATTAATAAAAATTTAATATACCTATAACAATATGTAAAGTTTATTAGATAACATGTAACGAAACTATAACTATAACTATTTAGCAATTGAAAAATATAATAACTTAATAATATATACATAAACTTAGTAAACTTTAATTATGCGTATTTAAATATTTTTTTGTAATCAAAATCAAAAGCTGATTAATTTAAATAATGTTAATAAAATAAACAAATTGCCGTTTAAAATTCAAATTACTTAAACTTATTTACTACCAACTGCATCCTACACTACTTGGGAGTACAATTTGCATTATAAACAGTCAAAAAATAAAGAACGATTATATAAACTCAACCAAATCCTCGAAAAAAATCTCTCAAAAGAATTATAGCTATAAAAACTAACAAAAAACAATATTGTAAATTGTTTTAGCGCGCGTACGTGCTCGATGGGTTGATGCTGTAAAATTCAGCAGCATCGCACAGCTGTGAAGAGATTGGAGACAATGAAATGAGCGGAGTAGAGCGTAGGTGTCGCGCTCCCACATTCCCTCAGTGCATAGCCGATGTAGTGGAACGACGGTCACAAAGCACAAGCGACAGCGGGTACATATTAATATTCATAACTCTAAAGTAACCTGTATTACTTGTCTTACGATTTAATTTATTATAATTTATTGTCGTACAATGTCGCTTGAGACTTCGTCCGAGTGGAATAAAAAATAAATTCCCGCTTTACGCGTTTTTCAGAAAAAGGGTCTTGAAAGACAGATGGTCGGACAACAAAGTGATCCTATAAAGGTTCCGTTTTTTCCTATGAGTTACGGAATCCTATAAACTGAGTAACTATATTATTCTAGACTGTAATCTTTATCTATTATTCCTCTAGCTCCTATCAGTGATTCTGGAGATACGATAAAAATAAAATATTAAAGGATAAATTCTTGATCTACTTTTTAGCCTTGCGCCATATAAAATTTTAATATTATCTCTAAAGTATTGATATGCAAGTTCAATAAGGGACAGAAACTATATCACTTATTTTATTCGTAAATTTAAAGTAATCGATTGTATGAATCTAAATACGCTACCGCTTGTGAATTGCAGCTCGGATTCCCCGAGGCACTCGTTCAATGGAATCAAAGGATTTGCGTTCATTACGGCGCGTAATAATTGATGGAAGCCGACGGCCGCCACTGACAGTTTGGCTTGCACTATGTTCAAACCCTACGACCTACACCCTTGTGCTATTTTACTTAATATACACTTATAAATTTCCAATATGCTATTATATTATCTTTAGTCCGATAGATTTTGAAGAGTGAGACGTAATTCGATTCGTTTTCTATTCCGGAATATTTTGACGTCAGTCGGGTTTATTGATTTAAATAACAACCAGTTTAATTCACCTTTTGTCTTTTGTTTCTTGACAATTTATAAATGTGTAGAGGACGATCCAATATTTGGAATATTATTTGAATAGTTTTACGTTGGAAATTATAACAAAATGAAATAGCAACATCTAATATTTAACGTGAAACGTTGTCATTTGATAAGTAATAATTAATTTGTTGGAAACACAAAGTGTAGGCAGTGGGGCTGTGCAGATTCCATTAGTAGCACAAGGGTCAAGTCATCTTGGGACTGGCTAACGAAGCATGCCTCTATTAATTGGTTTCCGCGGGGGTAGGAACGGGGTTGTGGTGGGGTAGAGGGGGTTAGGAAAACGTCCTCCTTCCAGACTCGGCTAATATGAATATTCAACTAGCGAATTGAATACAAGAAGGTTTTGGGAACAAAGAGAATTGATGTAATCTTTAACACCTCCAGTAATTGCTTTCAATGAAATGGGCCAGTATTAATATTGTCCAGTATTAATAAATACTTTATTGGTCGAGACGACAGTATTAAGTGAAAATTTGTTATGTTTACGCTTTGAAAATCTTACAAATATTATAAACTTGCTCTCGCCTGTGAAACCGTCCGCGCGGAATTAAAAAACTGAATTAGTAACCTATGTGTTCCTTCAGACTATGTTCTACATGTATATCAAATTTCATCGAGATTTGTTGAGCTATCCTGGAGATACTTTCTAACAAACATCCATCTACCCAAACATCCATCCATCCATACACCCAAACATTCGCATTTATAATATTAGTAAGATTCAAAATCAACAGATGTTTATTGGTTATTTGTAATTTTGTTAACCGAGTAATGCTGAAACGGCTAAAAAAAACTTTCGCCACCATACTCAAAGACGCTTATCAATCTCATGTATTCTTTAAACTTTCTTAGGTCTCAAATTAAACAAAGGATGCGTCTATAATACTTATATCAATCTTTATATATAATATTAGAATGAAAACATACAGACATAGTATATCTATATAGTAAAGCTAAGCTCTTGTCAGTTGGTATCACAGTGGGCACATTTATGTATCGGACGTTAAGGCGCCTCGTTTGAGAGTAGGTAATGACTGGTGTTAATTATTCATGCAATTAACTGATTATTGCGACACCAGGGGGAGCTTTGGAACGACTGGACTATGCTCTACTACACATATCTGAAAATACATAGAAACTAAATCTATCACCAGTTAAATATATACCAATCTTCCTGAATAAAATAAAGTTAAAAATTTTACTGTTAAACGAATTAATGCCATTGTTTTCAATAGTACTAATAGAGGTTAGATTTACTTTTTATGAAAGCTTTGGTAAATGTAGAATTTAATATTCTGCCAAAGACGTGGCATACTGGCCACTAAGAACCTTTGCCTTTTTAGATTAAAAAGATAGGTGAAAGAGAGAAGAAAATCGCGCGGGAAGTATTAACATAGAAATCTAATCGCGAATAGTGCTCAACGAAATAATATTGTAAATCTTACTAATATCATAAATGCGAATATATTTATGGATAGATGGATGTTTGTTTGAAGGTATCTCCAGAACAACTCCATGGATGATTCTTGAAATTTGGCATAAATGTAGAACATAGTCTGGAAAAACACATATGCTACTAATTAAGTTCTTTTAACTCCGCGCGGACGGAGTCGCGGGCGACATTTAGTATGTATATAAGTTTTGTATAAGGAATCTGACTACCTAATAATACAAGCTTTGTCCTGTATTATTAAGAAAGGAAAGTCTTTAACTAAAAATAGATTGTTCTCTTCTGTTAGACATATATTATTTAAGTTTGTGCGTTACAAAATGTACTCACGCTAAGTTTCAAATAAACGTAAAAGAAATTTGACTTAAAGCTTTAGCCTTAATTTACAAGTCCAAAGCGTATATATTATCCGTGTGTAATGCAATATCGTTACTTAACACATAACATAACCTCATAAGCGACGCGCCTGCGACAACAAATTACTGTCAATTTATCGCGTTGCATAATTAATTTTCATTTGTGCGCGCCAAGTGTGTATTCCGTTACTGGTACAACTATATTTTGATCATTTATTCATGTACCCGTGTCAGGCATTTCATGATGTTGAATATCAAAGACGAGAGACAATCGAATAAGCTCCGAGCCACAGGGAACGCTTTGTTATATAACTTACCTAAGGAATGCTTTAATGTCACTTCGCCTTAAGTGTTGCCAATTCTTCACGCCTTTTTACTTGTGCTCTTTGTGTTATTGACAATTTTATATAGGTATTATGTCTGGTTTACATTATGCCAGTACAGTAGGACAGTAGCGCTGGCCTGGAATTGACTGCATGGGTTTTTATTATGCCAGTTACATGCTAGCGCCGACTTTGCTACTGTCATATAATATTCAATGAATCACGCCCTCTTTTGGGAAGTCACGTAAAACTCTATCTAGCAGTCCTTTTAAACTCTCATGTTAATTTATTTTTTAATCATTAATATCTGATTATATACAAACTTATTATTATATTATTTCATCATTCTGATGTTTTAGAATAATTGCAAATAAATATACATATTGATTTGAGGCCGTGTAGATTCCAAAATCATGTT